TATCGCCCTGACATAGGAGAAGAGACCGCAAGATAGACATATCACGGCTCCCCGGCTGTCACGTCTTAGCGTCCTTGTCACGACGCGGACAGACAAATCCTTGCGGCGCATAAATTGCACGTTATTCTGGCTTTCTGACTTCGGTCGCATGCGGGCCATCACTGATGCCCAAAGCCACTACGACACGCACATCACCATCGGCCCGACCTCGCCCCAGCCTCTACCCACCAGTTCGCCTGTCCAAGCTGCCACACTGCCTTCCCATTGGTTTTGCACTACCCCCCGGCATGAACTTTGAAGCCTTCTTGGAACTCTTCTCGAAAAGCACCAACAGGAGAACGGTGGTAAGTCTCCTACAGTATGCTTACCGTATAAATCCCCGTGCCCTCACTTTCAAATACTCAATACTGGACCTCCCAATATTATTCGCAAACCATTCCAGTTCCCAATGCAACCAAATACGTCTTCTCCCGTCCCACCTGTTCCACGAACCACGTCGGCCAATATTGTCACCTGCTAATAGTCAGTAATGATGACACTCCACAAGGTATGAGATAAAGCTGCCGAACTTGCTCACGATCCTATTACCGAATACCCAGTTCCGACGAAGAGCGGGAAACAGAGGAAAAGAAGACACCAAGCTCCCAGCGGAAGCGAGCCAACCCTCCACTTAACACACGTTGACTTCAAAATTGCAAAACCTAAACCCTAAATATAAGCCACATGATTCATTCGATTCTATTCACCATTATCCTGTATTAGTAGACAAGTTAAACTAGTACTGGAAACGGAGACGACCCAGGGGGCATATGAATGCCAGTTGTGGTCGATTTTGATCGAAGTGTTGATTGAATCGAATCGAATGAATCACTGAGTCATTCATTCAATTATCACTCGAATCCCACGGTCGAGTGGGTACTGGTACTACTAGCTAGTACATTCTCTCTAGCTAGCTAGAGAACTACGGAAGCCAGCGAGGGCAGGCTTGTTGTGTGAGAACAACATGAAACGGTGCGAGAACATCATGAAGCCGTTCGAGTGTTCTTCTAGCTAGCCCCCAACAGCTGCCCAGCACAACAACGCAGTTCCACAACCCCTCTAAACCACCAAACAGTAGAGTATGGTTCCTCCTTTGGAAATCAGCTTGGAAACGGTGCTCTCGTCGTTGACAGTTGTTCTTGTTTCCCGGTAGACACTCCAGTTGGCGAGAAGAGAGAAAAAGCCATGGACCGTAGTCCCAGGATGGCAACCGATAGTCGGGCATTACCATTGCTTGCTGGAATTAGAGATCGGTTCAAGGTCTGAAAGATACGGTGATAGTGGTTGCTTTGAAATTGACCATGTTTGGTAATCTCAGCAGAGTGACAGTCCTAAAGTCTATTGTGGAATCCCTTCTATACGAATCGAATGGGTTTCTTTCTATCTTTGGCTTCTACATATGCATTCGCCCTTCAGCAACTTGATTGACTAGGAAGCCAAACAACCGCTGTAAAACTTGGTCATTTCGTCAGCGATGGGTATCGAATTATCGGGATCATAGATTGCAAAGTGCGTTGCTTCTCGGCGAATAATCTTCGAGGTAGGCAGCAACTGAGCTGCTTCCTCGGCCAAGTCTGGAGGAGTCAATGTATCGAGTGTCGCAGTGATAATGAGAATGGGAATCTTGATTGCTGTACTGGGATCGGATTGTTGCTTCTTTAGTGTATCGAGCGGATTGTACATTCGAAAGTCTAGTATCGACCTTGCGGGGACTTGATTTTGCCACCCACCTAGTCTTTTCTCGGGCAGTCTGCTAATGTAGCGTTGATGCTCTTCCGGTTCGACCAACATGGCGGCCAAATCATTGCCCGAACCGATAATTTGAGCGCACACCGGGGGCATGTCCAAGAATTGCCGGGCCAGATCCTGGGCGGTTGCAAGGAACATGCGTAGCGTCTTTGGAATTCCTCTTCGTTTGATGCCTCTCACGGCAGCAACGCTCCCGCTAAGATGTGGCACTTGCGAAACAATTCCTTTAATGTTGGCATCATTGAGTCGCTGCGAAGCAACTTCCAAGACATGGCCTCCAGAATAGGAGGTTCCCCACAAGAGAATCTTGGAGGGATCTACTTTTTCCTTTAGACTTTCTGGGAGAGACTCTATATATTCAATGGCGGAATGATAGTCTTGAATGTGTCGTTTCGGCGAGACCCAGTTTCTTGGGGTTCCACTGCTAGGTCCAAAGCTTCGGTAATCAAACGTAAAGACGGCATACCCAGCCTGGACAAACCGTTCGGCGTATCGATCGAGGCCAACATCTTTCTGATTTCCAAATCCAGAGGCCATTACGACGACTGGTCGGGGCTGGAATTTTGGCTGCTCTTCTTCTTCAGTGGTACTGGTAGGCTCTTCCTCGCCATCAGTCGGTGTTTCTTTTTTGGGTGGGGGTGGTGGGGAATAAAGCCACGCATGACATTTGTCTCCATGAGAAGAGAAGAAAATATCTTCGACAATAATGTTGGGATCGGAGAGAGGATTGTGCTTCCCGGTGTACTCTCCTGGATCAAAGTCACCAACGATCACTCCCTTGTCGAACGGTGGAGCCATTATCAGAATCGAAAGTAGAACAACGAACACGGGAATTGCTGCGAGTATCGACGTCATGGTTTTTGGTCTCTGTGGTGGATACCGTAGGATGTCAGTTTTGGTTTTGATAATTCTGTCTTTTCTTCAGTGGTTTCTCTTTTTGAGTTATGACCAAGATGTTGCTTTGTACATTGTCCTTTGGTTTTCCTACATCCTACATGCTCCCTGGATGTCTTGTCCATGATCCATGAGCCATGCAGGGATGCAGGGTGATGCCAAGATCCAACAGAGGTTTCGTCACTGGATCCTCATACAGCCAGCTAGGCTGTTTTTAAAATGACTTTCCTCCTTTTAGATCCGGAATCCTTGCAGGCCGGAACATCATGCAGAAGTGGTCAATCTTCACCTAGCTAGTATATCCTTGTCAGGTCCACAATAACAAAAAGGGCTTCTAGATTTTATCATTCTACAGGTACAACTAAACTAAATCATGACTGCAGTCTACTCCACCACAAGGACAAGGATCAAGAGGTAGACAGAAACCAATCCCATGATAATGGTGCGGAACAAATGCCATTTCAACCAGGTCCCTTCAAAGTGTTTGCGTTCCATGTTCTTTTCCGTTGCATTCATGTGAGACAAGTCCAAGAACTTGACACGGTTGTTCAATGGCACATTGATGGTGAAGGTAGTCCTTTGACAAACGAGCCATGCAAGTGTGGCAATGATCAAGCCCACCAACTGAGCCGTCGTCAGCACGTTGTCAATACCACTGGCTGCGGTGGCAATAATGGCAATGACAATGCTCGCGAGGATGACCAAGACGCTGCCGATCCAGGTAGCAACAAAGATGGGTTCATTGTCTTGAATGACACCATCAATAACTTGAAAGGCACGGAGATAGGCTCCGTCGTCGAGCTTGGCGATTCCGGGCATGACAACGGTTTGAAAGACGAGCATCTCTCCAAAGACCACAGTGCAAAGGAATGTGGCCACGAGAAGGGAAATCTGGAAGACCGCAGAAATTGTAGACATGGTTGAAATGATTGAGAATGCAAAGGGATTTCTAAAGCTTCAGGCTTGATGGATGGTTGTTTTTCGTTTTGTTGTTGGATGTTTATTCGATTTTATGAGCCCTGCAAACCGAGGAGAGCAGATTCCAAGGTCCACTCCCACAACCAAGTCGCGACCTTCGCCGCAGTTCATGGGCACGCTGCTCCGAAACATCGCCGAGGCGACTCTTGTTCCCCAAAGATCTTGGATCTTGGTTCACTCGTGGGACGCAAAGGGCGACTGACGTCATAACAGTGATTAATTTGTTGCTCATGACGGGTCTGTCCATCGCCCTTTGCATCTTACCGCTCTACTCAAACTCTTGGTGCCGTCGACCCCTCATCGCTCTCCTCATCGTCGTCTGGTTTGGCAGCACCTCTCCTGGGAACGTTGGAACAGTCAACACACCATCTTCGAGGCATCGACAATGTAAGTAATCTTTCTCTTTGGTTCCGTTATCAGTCGAGTGCGTAGTTGGGCTAGGGAAACCTCCAGATTCTATCGTTTTGCTGATACCTTCCCTCTCTGTTTCTCTCTTTGCAGTACATCATTAGCAAGACAAGATGACTGTAAAGCGACGCGCCCACGGACGCAATAAGAAGGGACGAGGACACGTCAAGCGTGTCCGTTGTGTCTCCACTGGAAAGGCCATCCCCAAGGATAAGGCCATCAAGAGGTTCATCGTGCGCAACATCGTCGATGCTTCCTCTTTGAGAGATATCAAGGAAGCCTCGGCCTACCAGGAGTACCAACTCCCCAAGCTGTACTTGAAAATGTACTACTGTGTTGAAGCTGCTGTGCATCAGCGTATTGTTCGGGGTCGATCGCGTGAGGCACGTCGTATCCGTACTCCCCCACCAAGGTTCCAACGAAAGTAAACAAAGGAATACAACAAAGAGCAGCAGGATAACATTTCAAGAATTACCTCCACTATTATTTTAACTTACTCCAATAAACTCTAGGATATGAATTGAAGTGAAACTCAATCTGTTTTTGCAAGTGAAATGCCACGCTAGCTAGATTCGAATTAAGTTTCCTAAAATGCTCTGGGAAGTTGTCTGCTTTGATCATTCGAAAACTAGAAGGGAATAAGGCACATCACCAAGCTAGATAGATAGCTAGCAATGGGGTCCAAAGTACATGTGATACAGATTGGAAGGCAGGGCTTTGCAGTGGGTACATACTGTTATTAGTCGCTATCATCCCCGCTGGAGCTGGATGCATCGCTCACATTGCTAGCTCTTTTCAAAACAATCTTCTGGGCCGATAACTCTGGAAATGCATCTTCGTCAGAAAACTGTTCTTCATCAACCTCATTTGCTCCGGCTTTGTCCTCCCTAGAAGCCGGTTTTCCTCCATCTTGATCATGCTTGGGCTTGTTCTTACTCCTTGCCTCCTTGCCATCGTCATTGACCAAAGCCAACAAGTTGGGGTCGACCCATGCCTTGCAAGCCTCCAGCAATGACACTACATCCGGGGCCATGGGAGCCAACGAACGGGTGAAGAAACTGTAGATTGTTGGCGGCAAGCGACCGGCATCTGGATCATGATCCCTTCCAGCTCTACCGCAACGGTGCACATACTGCTCCAAGTTGCCTGGAAAGTCATAGTTGATGACAAATCCAATATTGGAGACGTGAAGCCCTCTGGCAGCGATGTCCGTGGCAAGAAGCAACGTGACTCTTCCCGATTGGAACGTTTGCATATTCTTGTTTCGCATATGTTGGGGCAACTGACTGTGCAACTCCAAACAGGCGTAATTTTTGTTGTAAGACGGTTGCTTTTTGAGAAAGTTGGACATGTATTGGAGAGTCTTGATGCGACCAAAGAAGACTACTCCCAAGCGCTTTTGCCGGTGGTATTGGCTGGCTTGCTCCTCCTTTCGTATCCGATCCAACGTGGTGATGAGCTTTTTGGGCTTTTTGTGTTCGGAGCAGACATGAAGTGTTTGGACCAAGTAAGCAGGAATTCGGGAGAGAAAATCATTCTTGACGGCATCTTTCGTAGTCTGTTTCTTGGTACCGTCGTCCTCTTGGCTGTCATCTGCTGGTTCCTCCTTGTCTTCTGCACCTTCTTTGGCAGGCACTTTGGCTGCGTCATCATTCTGGCTTTGTTGGTTGTTGTCGGATTCCATTTTCTGCATCTTTCTGTTGTGCTTGTTGTTGTTGTTGCTTTCCATGGACACTGCGTCCACTCGAATCATGGCACATCGTTTGGAGCTGAGTTGCATCCATTCCTTCCAAGTTTCTTGGACCTTTTGCGGATACGTGGCCGAAAAGAAAGCCAATGATGCATCGGGCGACATGCACGCATTTAAAATGGCCGTGACTTGTTGGGCCAAATCCACATTTCCGGCCAATCGATCGCATTCATCCATTACAAGATATCGTGGTCGAATAATGATCTCTTTGTCTTGTTGTTGACGACCAAGTTTTTCCATGATGTCCGCCAATCTGCCCGGAGTGGCGCTAATAAGGTGTTGACCACCTTTTGTTTTCAAAATGTCAATGTGATCCTGAGTCGATTGACTCCCACCCCCACAGCATGCCAAGACACGTATGGATGACGAGCCTGATGTCTTTGTGTTTTGTGGTAAGGAAGATACCATTGCTTCTAATTCTTTGGCCACTTGTAGAGCCAATTCTCGAGTGGGCACCAAAACAATTCCGTAGATTATTGTTGTAGTAGAACCAGGCTGTTTCTTCATGGTATACAAGTTTGCCCCAATCACCATGGGAGCTCCAAAAGCCAACGTTTTTCCACTAGCGGTCGGTGATAATCCAATCATATTGCATGTTTGGGTTCTTTTGGAGGAGGAGGCATCATTAGGTGGCATCAAGATAGACCAAGCTTGCAGCTGGATCGGTCTAGGTTGCCACTCTTGAGACTGCTTTCCTGGTCGTTGTCGTTTCTTGCAGAAATTAACCCACAAGTGTCGGAGATGTTCCAGGGTATCCATACTTTCACTGCTTCTAGTAGAACCCTCTCCATTATCTGTCACATCCGTCTCTGTTAGTGGATCAGGAATCTTGTCGTCGGATGATGCTGATGATCCCGCAAACCAATCTCGTTCGAGGGCACTCCAGCTAGTTGTAGGTGTTGCTTCGTCATTCAAGTGTCTCTTTTTGTTCTTTCTTCCGCCTCGCTTACCACGACCCCGCCTCCTCTTCTGATTTGGTGATGCTTCGGACATGGTTTCCTATTGTCGAGAAGACAAATAATATGATATACAACCAAAAGTGGAACGAGAAAGAAAACAAATGAATGGTCTTGGATGCAAACCTGAGGACTTTGCCTGGCTTCAAAAATAGCTTCACAGCTACGCCGGCTGAAGCTAAAGATTCCGGAACACAAATCGATCGCCAAATTGCTATCCAAGCTCAACGAAGATGTCAAATGAAATGCTGGCCCAACGGAGACAACAGCTAGCACAATGAGAACTACTGTACTGGATTGTCTTTGAGAATTCGAAGTCTTACCTTACTTGTTTCGCATCGAAGAAGTAAGAGTCACAAAAGCAAAACAGGTACTCGAGTAGATACAGTAGCAACCGACCATGATTCTCTCTCCGTCGCAAGATGTCACGACGTCGCATCGACGACGATCCATGATTGCTCCACAGCATTTCGCCTTTGTCCACGCCAAAGCCGAGTTGGAAGGCCCCAATACACTCTGGATTTGGAAGTACCGCTACCTCACCATCTTTGTGGCCCTCTTCTTTTGCACCAATGGTGGCTATGCCGTCTTTTTTCTGCCGCGCTCCGCATGGGCCTTTCCCATTGTCAATGATCGCACACTGCTGAGAATTCACTGGGCCATGGGCACACCCTTTTTGGCGGGCGCTATTTGGCAACAACTCAGTGTCCCCATGATGGCAACCGCCGGGAAACGACTGGGACCGATTGGCGCGGCCAGGTTTCGACAATGGCATCGATGGATTGGACGATGTACCATCTTTTGTAGCCTGGGAGCGGCCACCACTGCGTTCCTACTGGCACCCAAGGCATTGGCAGGAAATTGGATCTTTATCGCGTGGTCGGTCAGTTGGATGATCATGTCGGTCGAGACCTTGGGCACGGCGGTTCTCAAACAGTACAAGGCACACAAAAAGTGGGCCGAAGCATTGTACCGAACCGCATTGGCGTTCTTGTATGGCAGAGTCATGCTGGTGGGGTACAACTATCTATCTCGGTACTGGGTGAAGGAAGAAGACTATCTACGTCATGCCCAAAATGCCTACTCTTACTCCATGATTGGTACTGGGATCTTCACCATATTGCTCACCGTCCAATGCGCCTACGCAGCCAGACACATTGAAAAGCAAAGTGTGGTGCAGCGAAGATGGAGAAAGATAAGAAGCGCTACCGCATTCCTGGTGGCGGCCAATAAGGAAACAAACAGCGACAATGGCCAAGGAAGATCAGGAGTCGTAGAGTAGCTCCTTTCACCTCTCTTCTTTTTGGGTGGGAGCGAGAGGAGTCGAACTATAATCGATTAGAGGCTTTTGGGGACGTTTATGCCACGCGGCATCAAACAAAGTCCGAGCGACTTCCATTGGGGTGGTGACTTTTGCTTGCGAATGAGAGGCTTAGGAGCTTACAGGAGCTTACAAAACTTGGATCCAGGGAACGACACAATTTGCAGCACTTTTTTGTATACTGTTGCACAGAAAGGCGTGGAAGGAGTGTATCAACAACAATCTGGTCCAGGGTGGCCACACCACCGGCACACTAGCACCAGCTATCCCTTCATCACATCAGTTTGCTTGCCAAAGCCGATGGTTCAAGGCTTTCACTTTGAATTGGAGGCATGAGGCGCTACGCGGTTCAGAACAGCCAGATGACCATCTTGGAAGCCCTACCGAACTTCAGAGGCAGCGGTGCTTGTGCATGAGCTCAACAGACTTCACACGATTATAGATGTTACCGGTACAGTCGTACCAAACCGAATCTAACAAGCCATGACAAAACTTAGGGATTGTTTTACACGTACGTTGTAGTCTTGCCTGCTCTAGCTAGCAGTGCTTAGCTACCTACCGGTACCATGGCAGATAGCTATCGTCTGGAGACTGAAGCGCACATGTGTAGTGCTGATTTCCATCGAGCACTCTGTGGTGACATTTCTCTCATTGTCTTCGCTGTCTTTTTGACAGCAACATATGTCTTGGAAGATTGAGGCTTTGTTTGATGCATGACTCAACTCTACTAGCTCAGTAGCTTTGACGTTCACAAGAAGGTTCTCGCAACGGCAAGAATCTCGGGCGCTATTGGAAACGGCAAATTGCTAACGGCCAACAAGCTTGCGCAGCGTGGTGCTTTTAGAGGGAACACTCCTCACATTTTCTCATTTCGAGCCAAGAACGTGTGAAGATCTATTTGACATGTGGGAACACTGGAGGTGCACCTTTCCCAGGCCTAGCAGAGATGTCAGTTGAGGTGCATACAAAAATTTGGAGAGGAGATTCAAGAAGCAAGATCTCATTCTTTATCGATCGAAAACACAGTCTTGCATTTTGAGTTTTTGCTCTGTGATCCATGACCATGGTGTTCAAGATCGTTTGCAGTTTGCTGTTGCTCGTCTCTGTCTCGGCAAATGATTACTTCCAGCTTCGAGCAGCTGGTGGTGGATGTATTGGCAGGCCCAGCGCCTCAGCTGGTAGGGAGCTCTTGCTGAAATCCTGTGACTTCTCCGACCCAACTGTGATGTGGAGATGGGATATGTATGGTCGTTTCCACAGCCAAGTCAACGACGGCGAGTGCATCCAAGCTGAGCAGTCCCCTGACATTCTGTTGGGACCTGATTTCTTGGAGAAGGGAACTCAAATGTATGTCAAGCCCTGCAAGGAAGGCGCTGGAACTGTTTTCCAGTCGTTCGATGACGACTGGGAGTTTGCTGGATTGACTGGACCACTCTTTTTAAACATCAGGCCTGATCTTTGCATGACCCATTTCGGAGCTGTACCTGTGATTGGAGAATCGCGCATTATGCTGAGCGACTGCGCCTCGTTGGGATCCACCAGAGGCGAGGGTTGGACGGCATTCTTCCCAAGCTACTTTGTCCTTACCTCCTACTCTGGAGGCTGCATTGCCCGTCGTAGCAACGGCAACGATGAACTGTTCCTACAGAGATGCACTGGCAACGACCCCAACATTCAGTGGCGCATTGACGACATGGGACGCTTGCGCAGCATGGCAGCGGATAATGAGTGCATGCAAGTGGAGCAGAGACCAGATATTTTGGCCGGTCCACAGGCGTTGGAAGGGGGAACTTCTGTGTATGTGAAGCCATGTGGTGGACTCATCAAGGATGACTTTCAAATCTTCAACACACTGTTTCCCATTCCTCTTGTATATCCTCCTGAAATATCCGGTCCGCTGAGCTTGATCAGTCGCCCAGATCTTTGCGTTGTCCACTTTGGTGCAACTCCAACTATTGGCCAATCGCGCATCATGGTGCTGGAGTGTGATGCTTTGGGCGGCAACAGGGCACTTGGCTGGATGCCTGATAACCCGTGCAACTATCCTCCGTTCTGTCTCTAAAAATTGACGGATGTACTTTTAGAAATACAACTAGGCTAGCAAGAAGTAACGGAGGCAAGGACCGGAAGATGGAACATTTTCATGAACTGCACTTGTAGATGTAAATTCATCAAAAGGGACTATACACGTCCTGAAGATTGCCTTATTTGGCTTCCTACTGGTGCGTGTGGTTATCTGTTTCTTTCGAATGCCCTTGGAGAGGTACCGGTAGAGTAGCTAGGCCAAGTTCTGGATGCAGCCAAGGGCGGTACGCTGGAATACAATGATATGAATGATTGCAGCATGTTGATAAAGTAGCCAGTCTAATAATGAGATTGCCCTTGCTTTGCGGGCTTGGTTTTTTCCCGGCGGTTGACGCTCTCGTTACAGCCAGCGAATCCAAGTTGGTCCTCTTTCGTTGTCGTCTCCCACCAGGGCCTCTAGTTCGACCGAAGCTATATACACTATGCCTTTGCTTTCTCATGCACTCTTGCTTCCCTCGGAGAGACAGCTAGCTGTCGACTTCGTCGTCAGTGTCGTTGTATGGGTTGTAATTTTCCACCCAGGAATATGGCCCTTGAGACAGCAGATTGACCACATGATCAGCCGGTTTGCTGCTAGTGTGGGGGCCCTCGAGGAAGATTGGATCAAAGGAGTCAAGAAGCCACAAGTTACCCAACTGTAGGGGAGTGACTTCAGCATGAGCGAACTCAGCTTGAAATACTTCGCCAGCTTGTTGTTGATCAGGGAAGGGAAGCTGGTGCACCAGATTGGGTTGGTATGATCTTTCCTCGTGCACACTACCCAGCTGAAGCATGTCACTGCTGGCAACGCGCGCCATACGGTACAGCGTGCTCTCCCGCTCCAGCCCAACCAGTGTCGACCCTTCACCACACAAAGATAGGGAATGCAAAGGGATTTTCCCAAGCGGGTGGCGCTTTTCTACTTGCCTTTTACCCACAAAAGGAAGCCGAATCAGAATGAATAACTCAGTGTGCTTGTGGCCCAATAAATATTTTTTGCTGCCTTTGAGGACCGTCAAGTTGTCTGTCTAACTGTTACGGTGTTTCAAAAAGAACCAACCCCAAAGCGCACTCTTTTGATCACAGAACACAGGAAGAATGAGTGAAACAATCTCCGTACATGTTTTATGTCTTTTATGGGGTTACCTCCATGAGAGGGATACGTGTAAAATTGCTACAAATCTGCTCCGAGAAAAGTCCATTTTGTGTGTCTACAAGGCATTGAGTCTCGCCTTGAGGTCTGGCAAGGCATCGTCGAGTGCATTTTGTTCTTCCTGGGAAAGCTGTTCCCCCACTGGCTTGGATTGGGGTGCATCCAATCCGACCAATTTTGCATCCATTTCTACACCCAATTCTGCCAATACCTGGTTTGTCAATGCCTCGGCTTCTTCTTCGACTTCCTCCGTGTCGAATGCATCTGCCAGGACATCGTCCATCAATTCTTCCTTGGCCGCCATTTTTTCATTTTCGTGCTGGAATTGGGACATTACTTTCATGGTTTCCTTCATGTCCATTTGGGCATTTGCGACTTTGAGTGTGTCCGTGACGGTTCCAATGGCCGAAACGGCAGCGACTTGCGAGGCCATGGTCGTGGCATGCATCCCCATTGCGCCCACCTGTGATCGAGCCGTGAATAGTTTGTCGCGTTGTTGTCGAAGTTGGACCAACTGTTTGGCCAGTACTTTCAATGTAGGATCATTCTGAGAAGAGACTTTTTTCGCTCGTTGTTTGAGCTCATTTTTGATTTGTTGCTCCTGACGATCCAATTCTCGAATTTCGCGGTCCAAGTCACGTTGATTTTGCTGTAGCACACCAAATAGAATAAAGGAAAGCATGATCGATTGATTTGTCGGGTTGGTGTTTCGTGTAATTTTCGGTTGGTCGTCAAAGCAACAGTGGTCAATACAGACGTCATGTCGTGAACAAAAATCGATCATTCAGAAAGACCACAGCAAAAAGAGAGATGGGAAAAAGATTCAGCAGCGTCAGTCAAATCGTACTCAGTAGAAGGCAACACACAGAGACGGGGAGGAAACAGCGCACGACTTACTCGAACTTCTTTGCGTGCTTCACGCTTGGCTTCCTTCGCAGCTTCCTTGGGCGTGGGCTTCTTCTTGAAAAAGTTCATGGTGGATTTAGTGGTGAGTTGGTACTGTTGAGATTGATAGGATAGAAAACTGCCGAGGACGCAAGTAAGTAGAATGACAAGAATATTAGTCAGCGCGAATGCCAGCAAGCAACCACCGAGCGCAAGAAAAGCCGAGGCGAGGAGCTTACACTGAGCAGGACTCTGGCAGTTCTAGTAGACAAGTCAAATGAGCTTTTGTTTGGGTCAAGTGGGAAAGAATATATGTCGAGTTTCAATGGAAGATGATACGATCCAAGCAATGCACCATCGTGAATGCCCCGATGAAGGAGCTCAATTCCCTCATCGTAACGGATGCAAGAGTCGGCCTGGCAAGATACGTAGAAAATGTACCAAAGCTACTCAATCGCGAATTGAGCACCGGGACTTAATCCTTGCCAAGCCAGGACTGTGGCACGAACCAAAGCCTCGCCCTTGGCCGCTGCAAAAGATAGCTTCGCAAACAGTACCGCTGGAATCAAAAGGAGCTTCAAAAGGTCTCTTGCAATGACGACCTTGATGTTGTCGGAACAGTGCATGTGTTCCGTTTGTAATTTAATAAAGTTTCGCAGTTGCGACATGTATCACCGCTACGAAACCAAGATTGTTGGTCAAGTCGACATGCAGCGTATTACGGTATTGGTCTGGAGGCTGGCTGGTAGTAGATGTTATGTGCCACACCCATTTGAATATGGCGAAGAAAGCCAGATATGACAACAAGAGTCATTGCAAGTGATCCCCCTTTGGTCTTTTGGATCTACACTATCGAAAGTGTTGTATTTTGCATACCCCCGGCGCCCCTTGATAAGTTTCCCCTCGTCGCTGCAAAAAGGGGCTAGTAGCGGTAGTTCAAAGATGTACACATTAGAGAAACACCATCCAACAAAGCAGCTATTGACGATTTGGCACGGCCTTCTAGCAATACAGGTAGAATTATTCTTCTGAACTATTACTAGTAGCTACTGCATGTACCCATACAACTGTCTGCCCAACTACCGTATCTATACTGGTCATTACGATATCTGTGTGTTCACACAGGGTATGGCATACCAAAACGAATGGGTGACACTGCAGCCAACCTACCGTAAGGGATGGATTGGCTTCTTGCACCTTTATGGCTGCAACAACGCACCCTTGGTGGGAAGAAGCCACAAATTCTGCCACATGTCGTACCGGTCCAAGGGGCTAACCTTCACACCGGTTGACTAGACTAGCTAGCCTTGGCTGCAGCATTGGTGCGGACTGCACTTTGACACCTCTGTCCTGTGGCACCCAGAAAAATTGAATTGAATGTGTGAGAGCTGTTGATGGACAAAGAAAGAGCAGCAACTCTTGCAATCATGACATACAGAAATTTTAAATACAGGGCCCTGTAGAAAGTGGGTGCATCATCGGATTACTAAGTCTTTATCTCGCAGGTGCACCCCCGAATCCCTTTGACACTTTGCAATCATAAAGAGAGGCATCTTGTTAAAAATTTTGATGCATGTTTCATTGACACTGCAGCTCACACTTTAAATCTGGGTTCCTCTTCCCCTGGGAACCCTTTTTTGCCAGTTTCTAAATTTTCCGTTCTGAAACCTTTGGCCACAAAAATACAAAAATACCTAGCCAACAGGAATCCTGCCAACTTTGATCAGTAACCCAGCCTGGCGAGTCTTGGGACTGTTAGGGAAAGAGGAAGAATAACCAATTCATTCAGCCGCTCAAAGAAGGAGGATGTTGTTGATGTACTGGACGGCACCATGAATTTGAAACTGTTTCCTGTGTTGGCTGCTTGGTTTCTCTGCCTTGTAGAAGCAAGTATTGGGAACGACCATGTCTTGGACAAAGCAACCGTGCGCTTGGGTGGGGCTGTTGTCGAGTATGTAAGCGAAGAAGAGTTTAAACAGAGGGGCTTGCAGATTGGAGACCATCGCTGCCGCGGGTGCGATTTCCAAAACGACCGAGTCTGCACAACGTGTCTGCGCCTGGAGAGGATCACCGTTGCTTGTGGCAACTGCATATACGCCAACGAATGTAAGAACCCGATCCCAGCTGCAAATGTAGCGTACACTTATTATATGATTTGTCCCCCTCTCACAAACCAATCCCATGTTATTCGTTCCCTTTCTGCGATAGGCTTTGCCAGAGAGGCTGGGGAAGTTGTACATCTATGTCGGATTGTTGGGACAGATCCCTAGCAACACAGAAGGCTAGCTAGCTACATGAAGCCCTGCCATCCAAGGTTTTTCCCACTTGCCAAAGTGAAGAGAAGTCCTGGACTCCTCTACTAGTAATTAAAGGCTGTACCATTAAGTGTCCATCGCCTGCCTGGTTCTGGCTGGACGCAAGGAGCTTCACGACGGGGTTGGAGACTGATTGCCCATGATCTATGCTAGCTAGCTAATGATGACGATACTGTAGCCAATTGATTACAACATTGCATCTTGACTGCCATGATACCGTAGTGGTGGCTGACACCCAGAGTTTGCAGTGATTGACACCCAGCTATTGCAATGGCTTTCCGGGTGAGAAAACGGGCCAACCGGATCACGGACAGACAAAATCTTCCACCAATGCATCGAACGAACACCCCACCCACGTCACACATCAGACAACAGACAACCCACAACAAACACCCACAACCAAAAACAAAGGCTAAAGGGTAGGGGCGACAGAAGAATGCCAAACGATGGCGCCAACCTGAAGAATGAAACGGACTACAGCCACGAGAAAGACCTAAAGTGTGAAGGCAGCAATATCTTCATTCCAGCTGTCCCTGATCCGCTAGCCAGTGAACGAGTGTTGGCGGCAGTCTCTTCCGACGATGATGATCAGTATCCAGTGACATGTCAAGTCAAGATTGACACATCTCCAAACTCGCCTCCTAATCATGCAGCCAAAAGTGGTTGGATCCTTACGAGTATTGACTGTCACGGCAAAGAAAAATCTGTTGGAGGTGACGAATTTTACATTGCCTACACTGCACCTATTAGCAGCAAAGATGATGACACGACAACCGAAGAACGTCGGCCCTACACAGCGGTAGCTCTCGTGGAAGACTGCAAGGATGGTACCTACTGGTTGGATTTTTGTGCGACTCCTACATCGCCGCGAACACCCACAGCCGAGTATGGCGGACACTTAACCATTTGGTTTCAATACTCTTGTGGTCTTGGTAGCATGGCACCACCTACCAAACAAGCATGGGTCAATGGTGCCTACACGCACCGAAAGTATCAGGTGGATCTCATCCAAAATCACCACAAACGACCAACCATTCGGCCCTTTTACCATCCCAATTTGACCTGCTGCAGACTGCCATTACAGCAACCTGCCATAGACCTGAGCCAGTTTGATCTGATTGTGGCCTTTGGCGATTCAACTATGGAACAACTGCTCCGACAACGACCCAACAAAAAGGGAAAGTACTTTTTCCAACACAATCTCAGTTATGGAGAAAAGGTATCCTTTGGTTTGAATACCCAAACAGTGTCTGCCTTTTTGGAATTGCTGGAGAAGGGCAGTGGAAGCCATCTTTCCAATCAAAAAGCGTATCGACGTCGAGCCGTCATGATTGGCAGCGCCATGTGGGATATTCTCGATTCCAAAGATACGTTACAGGGAACGGACTACAAGGATCATCAGCAGGCATGTCGAAACTACGTTCGAGCTATACGACAACGATATCCAGACGTGACCATTTTGTGGAAGTCGCCCACGGCTGTTCACATTCATGCGGTCGACCTGGATCGGTTGGTGGTGTCCAAAATTGGCGAAGCTGCTCTATTTGGGATCGAACGCATTCGATACATGAGTGCTTCCCGCTCCAGTTACTTGTACAATGTTCAGAAAGCATTGATTTTGGAAGAGCAGCAGCACGATGACAAGTTACTATTTTTGGATCTTTACGAGGCAACTTATTTGTCCGCCGACTGGTTGTTTCCGTCCGATGGGAGACACTACCGTCCAGACCTGAATCGACTCATGCTTCAGTGGTTCTATCCCTCTACTAGCTCAGTTCCTGATGCTTCTAGTAGGAGCAACGAGACTGTGGATGTAGAGAGTGTCGTGGTAAAGGGAGATGGCAAGGGAGGGATGCTCGTCGACATGCCAAAGCCTTACTACATTGATCCGACAATGAAGGATTTATGATATTCTGGGAAAGGGGGGATTGAACTACTGTACGGTTGATTTGTTCGGAAGATAATCCCGTCCTAGGCAAAGATGGGGCGTAAGATCTCTTTAAAAACACCATTGGATATTGCTCGTTGCTTTCCCCCCCGATAATTTATGCAAAAACAGTAAATCGAAGTCCCATTGGAAGTTTAGCCGCTCCCTGACTACGAAAAATGAGCTGTGCCGTGATTCCGTAATAGCTCATCATTCCGCTGGCCTTGGCCACCACACTACTGGCCACCATGGACAAATTGGAATGCGCAAAGGCCGTGTCATGGGTCAATGTGTATGCTTTTTTCTCGTCCCGACTTTCTGTTCCAAATCCCACCCCCGTCACCATTTGTCTATTCACAAAATAGTGCTGTTCCATGAAGTGCTTGTATCGTTCTTCGGATTGGGTAAAGCTTTTCATGGAATGTGCGATTTCCATGGCCGAATCCAGGACGCTCTGCCAAACAGCGAGAGGAATTTGTTTGCGTTTGAAAATGTTGGGAAGTTCCTCTCGTTGAGGATTGTTGATGAGACTTCCATCAAAGGACCATGTCAAATGGTAAACTTGTCCCACTACCGTTGGTACAACAGATTGCTGCGCTGTCTCTTCTTCTTCCTCTTGTACTAGTACGCCCGGTTGTTCAATGACGACTTGTCCATCGGCATATTCCAGTAATGTTTTGACGGCACTGACACCCATTCCCTGTACCTTGGTCCCATTGATACTGATAATTTCTTGCCCAATCTTTAGATTTGACCCCTGGAAGATGCTGTATTCTTTGATATCATCCAGCACGATTGTGTCATTGTTACCTGCAAAAAAGACCAGCCCCACTTTGGTCTTCATGCTGGGTTTTGTGGCTGTGACTTTGAATGTGCTCATTGTTCTCTTCTTGTAGAATAATTAGGCATGTGTTTTTGATTCTGTTGCGTTGATAAGGTCTTGTCAGTTGGTAATGTTTGGTTGATGATTCATTTTATTGGCAACATCGATGGGATGTTTGCCAAAAAGCTAGCTCACTGCCAAAGTTGTGGAAAATGAGATACGTAGCCAGCTACGGTAGATCTTGATTGCATGAATGACGTACCGGTGTGTGAAATTGAATTCATCCATGGATATTATTTTTCAGTGTTCTGATTTGGCCAACTACTGGAAGAAGCAAGATGCGAAAGGATTGAAGAGACCAAGCAAAGAGCCAATCAATTGCACCCCTGCAAATGCATGCTTCTCCGACCATCTGCACCTGCAGCTTCTCTTGTGTCTTTGTTGTGACAATGGACCCATCACCAAACATCATCATGTTCTTTCATTTATTTGCATTTTGCATTCTCAGAACACGCCATCAATAAAAAATCCATTTTCATTCAGTCAACTAGCATAGTCTAGCCCAGCTAATCCAATCATCCAATCCATCACCATGCAAGCATCCACTTCTAGCACCACCGTTCCTTCTTCGCAAGACGTGCGAGCAGCCATTGCGGCGGATAATAAAGGCACCGCCATGCCGCTTTCCACTCGCATGGTGCTGAGTGCCTTTGCCGGCATGGGCGCCGCCACGTTCTGTCACCCGCTCGATGTGATTCGCGTCAACATGCAAACGGCCGGAGAAGGTGCCTACAAGAATACACTGGACGCTGGACTACAAATTTATCGACAAGCCGGATTTTCCGGTGGTATCTATGCCGGTATTTCCGCCGCCTATTTGCGTCAATGGTTGTACGGATCCTGCCGCATGGGGATTTATTCCTATCTACTGGAGCGGGCGCAAATTCAAAACCAACAAGCGGGACGAAACAAGAACGAAATTTCCTTTACCAGCAAATTGTTCATGGGCTGTTGCAGTGGCGCGATTGGCTCCTTTGTCGGGACACCGTCGGAATTGGCGCTGGTGCGCATGTCGGCCGATTCCAAGGCACCCGTCGAACAACGACGAAACTACAACAATGTCATTGATTGTATCGTTCGCATTTCACGAGAAGAAGGATTGGCCAATTTGTGGCGTGGTGCAGCTCCCACTGTCCTTCGAGCGACACTCTTGTCGGCCTGCAGTTTGGGTGTCACATCGGAAGCCAAACAAGTATTGGCGGATTCTGGATACTTTGGTCCCAATGGGGAATACATGAATGGATACCCCAAAATGTTTTGTGCTACTTTGATCAGTAGTTTCTGTGCCAACGTTGTGGCCAATCCATTTGATGTCATCAAGAGCCGATTGCAGAACATGCCCATCAATGCCGATGGAACCGCTCTCTACAATGGTATGGTCGATTGTTTCGTCAAGAGTGTCCGTGCCGAAGGACCCATGGTCGTGTATGCTGGATTCACTCCTGCATTTGTCAAGTTGGCTCCCTACTCCATCATTAGTCTCACATTGGCGGACAAATTGACCAAGGCGTTGACCGGCAAAGACGCACTCTAGTCAGCTACGGAATGGTATGGTACGTCCGTGTATTTTTGCGTATTGAAGAGTGTGCACCAAAATGTATGCGACGAATAGGACTTATTTACATGAAGAAAAACGACAAAAGACTACTGAAGAAAGTGCTTGCACGAACGGTGGCTATTGACAGGCTAGCTATGCAAACGAAAATGCTCCAAGAAACAATAAAGAACCCACAGCTACCGTGGACCATGGCATCATAAGAGCTTGCATTATTCAAACTCTACTTCTTTACTTCTAGGTTTCTTTCGTCTATACCGGTATTATAGCAGCAACGTTCTGGTAGCGAGCGTATCGTGATCTGGCCAACTCTGCTGGTGGCACATGCAAAGGACAAGATGATGAGAGGTTTGACTTCCCACGAGACATCGCCTGGTCAATTGCTGTCCCATTTGCAAAGACCCTAATTTGCGGAGAAGGTACGAGCGGGATACTAGCCAATCCAAACAGAAGCACTGTGTAACCTGCGTATCTGTATGAACCCAATTGCAAAGACATTGGTACGGTAGGCTAGGTTGCTTAAAGATAACTCATTTTGGTAGGATCGGTCAGTTTTGTTGTCCCGTTGCTTGCCCTGGCTTGTTTGACTTCAAACTCTGCTGCACCATGTTCTCAATTTTTAAAGTACTGTACCATTCGTAGTCAGTGGTACTCTCAAGGCAAAGTGTTGGCCGTGGATGGATGGATGGTATCTCAGCCAGGTCTCAGACATACCTAGCTCGTGCACCACAGCTACAGAGTACTACCACTGACAGGAGACAAGGGACTCTCAAGACAAAGAGTTGGCCGGGGAAGGATGGATGGTACTCAGGTCTCGGACATAGCTCGTGCACCACAGACAGGAGACAACTGAAAAGCTACCGGTACATTCCACAGTACCACTGACAAGAGAAAGGGACCCAATAACTGCAGAATAAATTAAATAGACTCCGGGAGCACAAGCAAGAGCAGTTTGCATGGCTGAGCTTTTGAGACTGGACCCGTACGAAGACCCAGCCAGGCTTGGATATCGGTAAATGCGGTAAGTATATATTTAGAAATAATGATATGAGGGATATCTTTAACCCCAATTTACCGCAACTACCTTATTACAGCTGTCTTCCGGTACTGCATGCTGCATGCAAATGTATTTGATAGCTTCGAACTTTCAAACAGCAAAGCCGTGAACAGAACCGAAACAGCATCGAAATTGTTCAAATGGCACCTTAACTATTCAGTTTCCGTCAGACAGCCAAGCGACTGATGTGGAGTTTTGCTTGTTAATCAAAAATGACAAATCACTATCCAGGACTGAACCGCAACTAAACCGCACCTAAACAGACCCTCCCAAGCAGGACCGTGCTGTGGAGGCTCAAGCCAAGCATCGACTGTGGTCACATGATCTGTTCGTGCAAGCAGAACCCCTCTCGCAGAAACCTTGTCATCGAGCTCACAAATCCTTCGAGCAACAACACAACAAAGCTTCTACAACCAACCACAACAGTAGTACCATAAATTTCATCATGACTCTCCAAGAAACCGTCTTGAAGCTCCTCACCACCAAAAAAGTCGACTTGGACAAAGTCCGCCGTCGTCGTCGCCGCCGCCGCCGTCGTGAAGCAGCCAAGCAACGAGCTGTGGAACGCTTCGAAGCATGGGTCATCGAGAATTCCACCAACCCAAAGTATGCCAAGAAGCGGGTGCTTCCTTCTCTGGACGATGATACAGAGTCCACCCAGCAGATGTCCGGCCATTTTCAAGATGCTCAAGTCGTTGTCGACGAAAACACTCCTCCCTTTGTCGGCAAGGTCCAAGAGACATGCACTCCAGTCCGCGTCAAGTCTCACTACGAGTGGTATGATCTCTATTAAAAAGAGTATTGAGGTCATCATCAGGGGACGACGATTTTTAAACAAGGCTAGCTAAAAGGGGCGTTTGCCGGACGCAACCAACATCGCGCGACGAGGAATCCAACTTCAAGAACGCAACATCTCGAGCCTCCTCCCTCCTTCCATTTTTTCAGCTACAAACCAGCAAGGAGGAGCAAACAAAGCTGGGTTCGAGAAGCCCTCATCGGGCTGGGAAATAAAGAAACAATTTAAAAATGTATTCTAATACAACCATACACTCAACTAAGTTACTCTCCACTAGTAGCAACCATCCACCCTACCTTACCCAACTAAGGTACGACTGTACTGGTACTCAGCAACAAAGCATTACATCTCGTTGTCTTACATTTTCTACCACGCAGCGTTACGAACCCTACCGGTATCCACAAAGATCTTTCAAGTACTGGTATGGTACCAGTTACCCGTTAGAATATCTTTGCTTTCCGCCACGGCACCAGTTACCCTAGGGCGACGCGACAAGACCCCAGCAAAGATAGATGTCACCGCAGGACCCCAGCAAAGATGTCACCACAGGATCCCAGCAAAGGTGACACCATAGGACCCCAGCAATCCGAACTAATATCGCGGGGCTACCTTCCGTCCTCGCTGTCCAGCATGCATCCTCCGTCCCGATTTCGCATCTCTTCGCGAAAGCCAAACATCTTGCTTTCAATCAGACCACTCCGAAAGTCATTCAGAAAAGCTGCCTTGTCGACTTGTCTCGCTTTCTGCAGATGAGCATCTTGCACACTGCGATGGCGTTGAAGCGACAGCATTGCTGCAGTGCCACCAAGTCCCCATACTTCCAAGGAGTGCAACTCCCAAAAAGGATTCTGGAGTAGGATACCGCTAGTAGCGGACTGGTCTACCGAGGCTGCAAATGTGGCATCGCTGGAACCCAAATGACAATGATCCAGAGAGGACGATATGAAGAAGCGTGGCCGACGACGCGTTCCGCCAAGCCCAATTCCACTTTCATGCTTTTTGGAGTCGTCCTTGTTGGTTGATATTGTGGTCGGTGGCTGGTTTTGCAGATTGTTCTTGTCTAAATAGAAGTATTGATAGTGCGGTGACCACTGTTGTCGTTGTCTTGACATGTCAGCGGCTCCAGCTCTCATCACATGAAACTTGGGTTCCAATTGGAAGAGGAAGGAATCGCCGTCGCCATAAAACTCAGGAGCATCTTGCTTGATCCATGGTTGAGAAGCAAAGGCTCCAAAGGTTTGATTAGTTTTGGATGATTCCTTGTCAAAGGCTTCCACCAGGATCATGGTGGCACCATGGTACCCGGTTAGGCTGTGTTCTAGTGTAGATAGATTGAACCCATCTGAATGAGAGGAATACAATCGATGCCACTTTGAGGAAGAGAATAGAGAATCAATCATGTGAAATCGTGTTTTGGTTAGCTTTGGAAAGAAAAGAAGTTGCACTGCATTGGTTTGATAGAACTTACCTCTTGACCAGCCTTTTTGCGTTGGGCTCTTGGTAGTGTGTGGGCAATGACATGCAGCCAAGTAGATAACGTTCCTGAGGCTGATGGCGATAGACTTCCAGAGCCATCAATGCTATTCAGACTTGGAATGATATTCTCCGGGGTGGGTTCATCTTCAAAGGATGGAAGGAGAATGGTTTGCATGCAAGCGGGAAGCGTGGATAGCATACCAGGTACATGGCGGTTGTGCCACTCCAAAAAGTGTTCTTGGAGCAGCGGCGTTGGGTCTTTGTCGTGTGCCCCTTGTAGGTTTCGGGTGTGGGATTGGATCAGGGATTGGTGTAGGGCTTCTATGGCTGGATCTTTCTTGTCATCGGGGGTGTCAACCAGATCCTTGAGCCGATCTTTCCATTGTTCCTGTTTTGTGGCATCTCGACAGGCAATAAAGGCATGAACAGCTCCCAAATGAGCGCACGATGTCATGATCCCCTTGAGTTGCTGGTCCTCCTCCAAGTCCCCATCCCCCTTCAGAAATTGCAGTGTCTTTGACTGTTCCGATCGACCAAGAACAGCGCTTATGATATCCTCCGCCGATTGACTGGATGGCGACTCCAGTAATAAAAGTGCCTTGCAACAAGCCTCCAACGGTCGCAACAAGGTGGGGCACTCTTGGAGGAGGATTTCGATTCGTTCTAAATGTTGCTGTTGTCGCAATTTCAGGGATTCGTTTCGTTTGCCTGCCTCCAGGAGTCGTTGTATAGCAGCCTGTGGATCATCTGCATTGAGATCAAAAGTTGGCTCTTCCTCTTGTTGTGCTGCACTACCACTTTGAGCCTCGAGTGCCGATTTCGCTGCCGCTTGGGCAACGTGGAACAGAGCAGAAGGAGTCTGCTGTGCGACTGACTCTTTCTTTTCTTCTTCGCTATTGGGAGGAACAGGTTGAGATATGCATTCCAAAACCTTGGCAATTCGATCTTTCTCTCCAGGTGACAATGGGGGGAGAGTTGGGTGTTCCATCGATGGGTTCCTGATGTCACCACTACTTGTATTTTCACTACTTATTGTCGATTTGGACGTGTCTGGTAGGCTACCTTGTACTATGACATCATCTGATTTCTTCAGTAAAGCTTCCTTTTCGTCTTTGGTTATTGATTCAACATTCTTGTCCTTCTGTAGATTGTCGTTATCTTTCATCTTGCCACCACTGGTACAAGTACCAGTTTCTGGTCCATTGAGGTGGAGCAACTGCTTCAAAGCGCTCCAGCAATCAATTTCTCCCTTGGGAGGATGGCAGCATTGGAACAAACTCCATGCCTCGTCATCTTTGTCAGTATCGTTCAGGATACCTTCTTTTGTCACAGCCTTCGCCGGTCTTTCGGGTGGGGTTTCGCTGCCGGTGCTCATCTTGCATGCACTCTGTGGCTTGGTGCTGGTGTCTGGGATCTGGGACATGGACTAGCTAGTTGCCTAAAGTATTCTTGGACCCTCCCCTCCCCTGTTGTAAAATCCGCTCGCGGGCTTAACTTTCTGAACAAGCACGAACCAAAGATCCGTTGGTTCGTGCAGGAAAGGATCTGGTACCAGTACCGCAAGTTCCAGCAAGCAAAAGATCCAATGGAGACACCCGCAAACCCAAAGCATTCCGAGTGATGAGATAGACGAAGAGCGATGGTCACTGACGAGGCCAACCGATCTCCAAAGAACATTTTGACATGGAGAAGAGCATCACAGATCAATGCTGATTCTGGATGTGCGAAAGTCTCATCGAAAGCTCATAAAACCTCTCTTGTGCCTATCATCGGTACTCTTGAGATCATCCTTTTCTCTAATACCGGTAAACGAGAAAGAACAACAAGTCTGTGATATTACAAAGTCTTCCAACACGTGATCTGCTACCATGACCGAAACCGAGGAAGAACCTGTGCAGGTCTTTATCATGATGGGTCAATCCAACATGTTGGGCTTTGGTGATGTTGGTCAAGGCGACAAACCGGGTACCCTCGAGTATATTTATCAAAAAGAAGGTCGATACCAGGAGCTCAAAAAGGAAGACGGCAGCTGGTTCCAGTCCGACAATGTTCGTTACGCCTTTGCCATGGCTCGCAATGGCAGGACCGAACTTCAAAAAAACGAATGGCTGACTGTCAATCAGCGTCATAAGTTTGGACCCGAACTGGGATTTGGAAAGGTCTTGGGAGCCTACTACGGCACCAACGCACCCAACAAAAAGGTACTCTTATTGAAAGTATGCATTGGCAATCGCAGTCTCGGCTGGGACCTTCTCCCTCCAGGCAGTCCTAGATTTGAAGGACAAGATGGAAAAATCTATGCCGGATACAAAGACTCTCCCGGTGATTGGGCCAAGGATTCTACGCCGGAACCCGTCAAGTGGTATGGTGGCAAACAATACGATATGGATGTCAGTACTGCCAAGGAACTGTTGGCGGATCTTGGAAAGTATGCTCCAGGTGCCACCAAGTACGAAATTGCAGGATTTGTATTTTGGCAAGGACACAAGGATAGCTACAACAAGGACCATACCCTCAAGTACGAGGAAAACCTGGTCCGACTCATTCACATCCTTCGCCGCGACTTTGATGCCCCCGATGCCAAGTTTGTTCTCGCCACTGTTGGATTCGATGGAGACAATATGAAGGGCAACATGCTCGACATTGCCAATGCTCAGTTGGCCGTCAGTGGTGAAACAGGAAAGTACCCATACTTTGAGGGTAATGTCAAGACGATTGACGCAAGACCCTTTTGGAGAAGTAAAGAACAGTCGCCAACAGGGCAAGGACATCACTACAATCAAAATGGAGAAACATTCTACGAAGTGGGCAAAGCTCTCGGGGAAGCCATGGTGGAACTCCTGCAGTAGATAGAGCCAAACAAAACAGCTCAGACAAACAAAAAAGTGCACCGACAAAGACAGAGATAGATATAGCTAAAGTAGCGCCATTGCATATGATTGACATGACATGTTTCAATTGAAGATAGGTGGGAACTTCTACGATGCCAACACTCAACAATATTGACAAAAACGTCCCCATGGTTCGTAACGGAAAGACCTAGTTTCAGAAGTGATTGGTTGATTGTCACGACGCGAATTGGCCTGGATTTGGTCAACGATACCAATGCTGCCAGGCTGTCATTCCTAGTACCGTTTGGGAGTCATCCCACAAGTCCCCTGCGTCCCAATACATGAGCAAAGATCATTCTCTACACGAGGGCCCCACGACGTCCGATTTCTTCCTCGGTTTACTTCTGTCCCTGCCGGATGCATCATCGCCAAGTTTCTTGCCTGAGTGTGATCGGCTTACAATTGAGGCTCGGGGTTTGGTTGCAGTGGCAAGTGATCCATCCATGGCGATCTTTCAGACCACCAACACGCCCAAGGATTTTGTTCGGCGAACGCCTTTACCGCCGCTTTTTCCATTGGTGTCCAATCCAAGGAATGCGGTAAACTTGACCAGTTACAGTTCCTTCTTACCTCGGAAGATTAGATCCGTTAGCATGGCGTTGACTCGCTCTGATGCATCGCCTATGGCTGAAAGAATGGCACTCCTATCATTCTCGTTGCTCGCTGTAGCATCACGCACATCAACCGCAAACTTTTGGATACTCTCCAGTTTAACCTGTTCCTTTTCATGGATTACATCTTCCTCTTCTTTTGCTTCTTGGATGATGATGTTACCTCTGCTACCAATCATAAAGGGCGACAGGAAGAAGTACTTTGTAGAACAGCCCAGCACAAACAGCGGAAAACAGAACAAGAGGACAATGGCCAAAACGGCAGCGGCAACACGACCCTTCTTTGACCTTTCTCTGTCGATTCTCTCGTGAATGGCTTCCAACGCAGCCCCAGTGCTGATTGTATGCATCAGAGAGAGCAACATGTGAACCGAGAGGATGAGGAGCCCGAGCAAAACGATGCCAGAGCTTTCGGCTCTCAAAGACTGGACAGAAGGCAGCATAATGAGCAGAAAAACGTAGAATGCCACCACTGCCAAATTTTTTAAAGTGACTTGTACCAGTAATCCTTAAAGAGTTCCTTTCGAACTCTTGTCGTTCGCTTTTCCCGTTCCTTGACAGTTCGTGGGGCGTGCTCTTTGAGGCGCTCCTGTTGGGTTGACAAGTTTTTTTCGTCGCCGCCAATGCACATGGGGAGACCCAGATCCATGGCCAGATATGCTTCATAACAGCACCATATTCTTGTATGAATGGGAATATTCTGGGTTGCAATGACTGTGACATGTTTCATGGAGGGGCTCGTCATGGCAATGTGAAAGGGGCTTTCTTCCAGCAAATGGTCGCCTAAAAAATGGTGCACCAAATGTTGGGGGTTGGAAAGGAAACAAATGTAGGCAGCGTTGCATTCAGGGGGGCATGCTTCGAGGAGATGGTTGGCAAATTCAAAAATGCCCTCGTGCCAAGCGTGGGAGACAAAAAGATCCGCTTCGACCCCATCTTGAGGATTCTTCATCAAAGCCCAACTAGACTTTTTCAAGGCTCCTTTTCCGGCCAGGCCTTCCCATTTGTGCTTTGAAGCAAGGGCTTTTTCAGTGCGTTTTTCCGAGAAGGATCCTTTGGTGATTGGTTTGATGACTTGTTCACATACCTGATGAATGTTGGGCCCTATCCGAGTGCTGTTGAATTTCCAGTCAGGGTAAACGAACAGGGGTTCCTTGATTGTTTTGTTGACTGTCTCCAATGATAATTTCTTCTTGGCCAGAGGATAAAGTTGGAGCCGCTTGATTGTCTTTTCCTCACTTTTCCAATGTGTGACCGAGTTTTCAATCAGGCCCTTGGCCACGAAAGCTCGAACTACGCCAACAAACTCCTCGAACTGGGCCTTTGTAACGCCCCACCGGGATGCTGGAATCTTCGATACGTGCTGTGCTGCCCGGTCTCTCTTCCGGAGAAACATTCAGTAACAACAAAGGGGACTGCGGTGTGCAGTACTGCGGTACTTATTGCTGGGGCACAGACATTGTCTGTGCCGGTATGGATGAAGCTGACGAAAGTCCCAAGGATGGGGTGCTGGTGCTCTACACGTACCGGTACCGGTACAGTACCGATCCCGATCTACAGATATTGGCAATAAAGTGTCCATATCAGCAAACGCTTTGTCAGGCTTTGGCGATAGCCAATCAAGCTTAGCTTTAATGACCAAAAGGTTTTGAATTGGACGCTCTATTCATGAAATTGACTACGCGTTTGTGCACCATGCTCCCCCTCCTCACACTCCTATTGGGAGGTCGCCTCATTCTTCTCCGCTTATTCCGACTTTTTTGATGGGGGCAAGCTCATCTCGAAAAGGTGTTTGTGATAGGTAGCCACTGCACTAGCAAAGTCAGGTTCAGAGACATAACTCCAACCACGGCGTTGTGCCATTTCACGCAGAACAGGAGACAGGTAGTGATACAGCAGGGGAGAGGGTACACTTGGGGCCACATGGTGCTCAATTTGATAGTTGTTTCCACCAAACAAGAGGCAACTGAAATACCCACCCCAATTCATGGATTCATTCATTTGCAACTGCATAAAGTCATCAATGTTCTTTGGACGACCCATGGAGTCCACAAGGGGTCTGTTTGCAGTATCACAAAATGACGCCAGATCACCGTGATTGTGGGTGACTTGAATGATATATGAATTGAGTGTTCCAGCAACCACAATGACTGTAAGGATTGTTTTGAGTGCATCAAAGCCATTGAAATAGGTTGGCAGAATGAACATAGTCAGCCAGTAGATCATAAAGTACACTGGATGTCCTCCATGTTTCAGGATATTGTCAAAGGGAAAGGTAAGGCCATTGAGAATTAGTAGAAGTGGAATATAGAGTGGTTGGAAACGGTGAATTGGGCTGTGAGGGAGATCCGGATGCAGTCTAAATCCTACTCCAACAGTCGAATAAATGTCATGGTCTCTGATTGGATCATTGGTGACCAAATGATGACCTTCATTGTGATTTTTTCTCCAATTTTCTGGTCGTATAGCATAGGTGCGATCCATAAAGTCATAGATTGGCTCTGTCAGTTGATCCAACCAGCCAATACCATAGACTTTGCCACCCAGGTGATTGCGCATGTGAAAGATGTTGAAGCCATATGACACAAAGACAAGTCCCCATGTAACTGCCCATACATGACTGCCTGTCATGATGAAGGCAATGAGGGAAGTAGGAAAAAGGACGGTCAAGAATAGACACCAAGCCCGATAAATCATCACTTGTTCTGGGTGTTCTTGAATAATGCGGCAAAGAGCAGCATGGATTTCATTGTAGGCTGGTCCTCGTTGAGGGAGAGTGATCCCTCTGCTTTTGGCTGCCTGAGTGATGCGTCCATCAAGGTCCCTTCCAAAGTGGGATGTCAAAAAGAGAAAGTCTTTGTGTGAGTGATCACGAGCCGCATTCAAGGTGTCCTGGCCACCTGGGTGGTTTGGAAAATCAACAGGGACCGAGAACTGTTGGCCATTGGCAGTCCCTTTCTCCTTTTGGCCATTGGCAATCCCTTTCTCCTCCTTGTTGGGTTCCTTGCTCGCATTCATCTTGCTTGTTTTGTGGGTTGAAACAACAAATTGTTAGCACGAATCTTTTCAAGTTTTTGTGGGGGGGGAAGCTGGTCAACACCTCTACAAATACGACTGTACCACGCCACTGCACCAGCTCTGCACCACAGATGAATCGAGAATCGAATCATGGCAGCGAGCCAGCTGGCCCACTAGGTAATTTTACTGTGCCAAGAATACAGGCACAACAGGTAAAATGTGTTTTGTATAAAAACTATTATTTACCGAGACTACCTGAACTCCAAAGTGTGTTCCAGTTTGTGAGCTCTTGGTGGCCTTAATTAAAAGGACCAACGGTTAAGGTGTACCAGGTAACTTATTTTGCCGTGCCAAGAATGCAGGCACACCAGGTAAAATTTGCCTTGCAAAGCTGCTCAGGCCGACTCCTAAAACTTTAACAAACCGTACCGGTACTAAGCTAGCTAACTAGTACCGTAGTGACCAAAGCAACAGCGACATCATGAAACGTGGTTGTCTGCGAGGATGGGTCAACCGGGGCATATGTACAACATTCACATATTCCAGGAACATCTTCGTGCTCGAAAGGGCGTGTGTGCGAACCATTTGAGCTGAAAGCGAAGCGAAGTCATTTCGAAGTCACAAGGAAGGGGGAAAAAGATCGATGAATCATTCGATCAGCCACATTTCGAGACCTTGTTGTCGTCGAGGTATTGACACCTCGCTCCAACAAGTCAACTCACCGTACTAGCTAGAGCTAAGCTTGAACCATGGGTGTTACAAAGGTACGTGTGGTGAAGCCGCATTGGAGGCCATACGATAGGACTATCAGGGCCAGATAGCTAGCCAGACTCAACTAATCTCGCTTTCCTGTCCCTCCCTTACTTTTACAGGAAACGATTCGTGAGGGCGATTAATCCGACTTAAAGGGTGCACTTTAAGTGCGTGAGTAAATTTCAGTTCGTATCGCCTTTATTAATCCCAGGACCTATTTCATTTCTGCGTCACTATGTAATTTTAGTGAGTTGTCTGAAATTGTACATACGCAGACACTTACACATCCTTAAAACGATAATTGGACGTGCACGTTTTTAAGCTGAGTAAAAGGTGGACGACAGTCCTGGTGCCGGTACTACATGTACATGCTAGCACGCACCCCTCCACACAGAGCATTCAAGCAACACACCGTAAAGTACACGCTGGTTCCTCCCTGAAACAGAACTCACATGAACCCAGTCCTGTGGCCTGTGGTATGGATAGGGTCTGGGCCGGACAGAGCGGTTCAAACTGTGCGGTAAGAATAGTTGTGAGTAGTTGGGATTTGTGGATCGACGCGGCACGAGCGGACCGAATCGAATCCAGCAGCTACTGGTAGAGGATAAATAAATGCACCCACAACTGCTGCCATTGCCAACAGTGCCAGCCGCCATCTTTTATTGTGTCCATTCCAGTATTTTTGCCGAGCCAGGAATGAGGCAAACTTTTAATTTACCATCAGCACCACGGCCTTTTCGCTGCAGCTCTCCTCTACCGTACTAGCTAGCTAGATCCCTTACTATTCTCTTTTGTGTACGGGTACGGTACCAAATGGTACCGTACCGTACGACCATGAGAAGCCGCAACCGAGGTAGATTGTTGAGGACTTTCCGAGCGTCTGACCTAGCTTGGCGATTCCTAGCTAGCTATAGATAGACTAGGCAAAAATCCTAACCGGTACCAGTACTGAGTTTAGATTTGCCAAGAAGCGGCCATCCTGCTAAAAGGACTTTCCATTTCCGTCGCTTGATGCAACAGAATTGGATTCTATTCAGAACCCCCAAGAATAACCGAAGTAGACAAGGATTGTTTCTCATGGCCAGAATAAAGAAGCATACTGAGGCACAGCATCCAATTCACCATGCCTTTTGTCGAGTGAAAACCTGCTACAGTAACATTTTTAAACAAAAAGTGGATTGGCCAATTCTTCTTCACTGTATCATGGTGCCTTCCTTTCCACTTGATCACAACACAACCCAGCAGGTTTCCCCACCACAAGTTTCATGATCACCGAATGAATGACCTTGAAGACAATCAACATGTACATTTACATGTATTAACAACACCACATGACATACACGTAAAAACTGCACCTTGACTGATTTGTTGATTGCTGGTGTTTTTGTTTGGTTTGGTTTGATCGAGTCTACTACGACTAGCTACTAGAGAATGAGCAGCAGCCACCTTCTTTTGGGATATTGGCTTGCTTATCCCCAATAGCCAGCAGCTCTACCACGAAAACCAGGTCAGCGTTGGGGGGAATGACACCACCGGCTCCCTCTGCCCCATAGCCGAAATCAGAGGAAATGTTCAGTTTTGCCTTTTCTCCCAAACTCATTTGAATCACACCTGTGTATTGTAGTAGTGGTGGTGGATAGTAGTGTGGTTGGTTGGTTTGGTTGGTTTGGCGCCCGCCAACAAAGAACAAAAGCAAAAACATTGTTCTGTGAGGATACCCCAAAATCGGAACATGCTGTACGGACAGCCCTCTGAGCTCTGTGGGATCTGGCCCCATACAGACAAACCATACCTTCATCCCATCCCTGAATGACCTCTCCCTTTCCAATCTTAAAGGAGAAAGGGGTGCCTCTGTCATAACTGGAATCGAATTGGGTTCCGTTGGATGCCAAGGTGCCTCTGTGGATGGATGGAGAAAAAGGTCAACAAGATCCGCAAATGAGCTCTTCCCATCAATCCTTGACCAGGAAATCCTCCTTGGCACAATGCAGATTCATTATGATTATCATGCCAAGCACCATCTTACTTGTAATGCATCTGGAGCTTGTTGCCCTTCTTTGGAAAGTTCTCTCC